CTGCAAAAGAAGCTGCAGAAAAGGCGGGAAACTCATCCCTGCACCGGGGTTTCCTCTTGCTACAGGAAACACTCCTGTGCAATGATCTGCAACTTGGCGGGGATAATTCTGGTGCCGAAGCACACACACCATCATGCCTTTTGGGTCATGACACCCAAAGGGAGGGTAGACAAGCCAGAAACTTGAAATCTGCTGGGAACTTTATTATTACTAAACTACTTATATGGAAAGTGCCCAGATACTACAGTGAAGCTGCATGGAAACTAAGATGGATTCCTATATCTTGAACAAACAAAACTCAGTTATAAAATTCAGCTCCAGATTCTGACATGAAATTCCCTAGCATTTTATTATGTTTGGATCTAGCACATATTAGATGCTGTCCCAATCACAAAGTTTGGGTTATGATTTGAATCGGGATCAGGGCTTCAAAGATATAAAATCACAGAATCATAGAAAACTAGGTTTGGAAGGGTCTCAAGAGGTCATCTAGTCCACCCCCCCCGCTCAAAGCAGCACCATCCCCAACTATCTTATTCTCACCAAGGCTTTGTCTAGCCATTTCTTAAAAACCTCAAAGCAGGGAGATTCCACAGCCTCTATGGGTAACCTGTTCCAGTGTGTTACTACCCTCCTAGTGAGAAAAATTTTCCTAATATCTAACCTAAACTTCCCTACAACTTGAGACCATTGCTCCTTGTTCTGTCATCTACCATCACTGAGAACAGTTTAGCTCCATCCTCTTTGGAGCCACCTTTCAGGTAGTTGAAGGCTGCTAGTAAATCCCTACTCAGTCTTCTCTTCTCCAGACTAAATAAGCTCACTTCCATCAGTCTTTCCTCAGAAGTCATGTTCCCCAGTCTCCTAACCATTTTAATTGCCCCTTGCTGGACTCTCTCCTAGTTGTCCATGTTCTTTCTGTAGCAGAGGCCCCAAAACTGTATGTAATGATTGGCAGGTACAATTTTTAGGATGGTGTCTAGGAAGTTCTCCAGATAAAATTGTTCCATTTTTACAAGATGATTTGGGGGATGGGCAAAAATTTGTGCTTTTGCGGGGGTTGTCACTAATCTTAAACAATTCAATTGATGAAGGTAGATGTCAGTTAGCAGCTACCAAAACCCAACTCATACAGTGTGGACAGAAGTTACATTTGTCACTTGATCAGCCCCCTGAAAGTGCTCTACATCCATGTTGTGACGCATGTGCATGGCTGCGTAGTGCTTTAAACCTGGCCGATTGTGTGACAAATTAAACCATATCAGATGAGGGATCAGATGAAGATGCTCCACTTTGGAGCACCTTAGATTAAGCTTAGGTAACACAAGTTCCCTGTTGTACAATCAGGGCTGGGCTGATGGAGCCTACCCAGCCCCCAAGGTTGTCTGCTGCAAGGTAGGGGGGAGAGGGGAGGGGGAGTAAGCTGTGGCCTGGGGTTTTCCCAGCCTGAGCTGGGGCGGGGTGGGGAGAGTGGATTGAAGCTCTCCCCCACTCCCACAGCCAAGTTTGATTTCCCTCTCCCCGGCAACCCAACAGGCAAATGTCTGGTGGGGGGTGGGGCTGTGTAATTCATGGTGCTTTATGCAAAGCACCATGAGTTAGAGCAGGGACCTGTCAGCACTCATAAGTTTCCTTTTAAGTTTTTGCGTTAAAACCAGTTGTGACCCTCACTCCACTCAGTTACACTGGAGAGGTCTTTATTGAGGGTTGGGCCTAGGTTTTGTTGTTTTTCCAAAATCTTGGCAAAGTGAAGGGATTGTTCTGACAAATTTATAGCTGTATTATATTTCATTTCAGCTAGATCTTCTGTGGTGAGTATTCAGAACTGACTTTCAATTCCATAGTATGCTAGACCTATGTCACAGAGCACTGAGGTGCCCTGCTCCCATAGAGGGGAAAACTGCTAGGGAAGAAGCCCTAGCAGGGAATAAGGAGCCCAGCTGTGGGTTGCCAGGGCAACCAGAGAAGGTCAGCTGACCCTAAGGGGCAGGGCCCGGCTCTTATAAAGCCCAGGACTAGGGGCAGTCCCCTGCCAGCAGCCAGAGAGGCAGGAGCTCCTGGAGTAATGATGCGAGGAGCAGCGAGAACCGCAGGTACAGCTTGACTTGAGTTGAGCAATGTTGTTGTAGCCAGGCGGCTTATGTTTGAGTTGGAGCCAGGAGGCTCAAGTGTGTGTTGCTGTTTGTTAAACCAACCGGTGGTTTGGGTGAGGCTATCAGGGGTTGGAGGAGGCCTCATAGGGGACTCGCAGCGGAGTGTGAAGACCCCAGCGCCAGCGGGTGCAGCACAAGGGGTGCATAGACCCCAGCCCCAGAAAGGGGGCAACGTTACTGGGAGCCCCTGATAGGGGGCTGCATCATTGGGAAGCCCAAGTTGGGCGTGGAAAGCCCCAGGAGGGGGCAGCATTGTGGATAAGGCCCCAGAGAAGGGGGCACAGAATGAGAGAGGGCCAGAGGGAGCCCTAGCACCAGAGGGAGCGTGCATTAAAGGAAGGAGGGCCCAGGGAGAACAGGAAGGGGCCAAAACAGTGAGAGAAGTGAGACAACAACGATTCCATCGGTGAGGTGTGAACTGCGGTGTAGGGGAGGAAATGGAGCTGCAGATAGCGCCCCTAGCGGCGGGGCAGAATAAGGGAAGCCTCCCACTAATTAATTAATTAATCAAGAACAAGGTGTGGCAGGTGAGTAGGCGGGCGGTTGACCCAGAGACAGGTGTGTGGGCCACATTGAGGGTGGCCCAGAGCAGATACCTGTCACAACCTACAACTAAGAAAATGTTGAAGTCCTGATTCTATAAGGAGCAGAGTGCTTTCTTCAATGTTCTCAGTTACTTTAACTTCCTCTGAAAAATCTGTGCGAGTTAAGGGTATTTAGTACCTCACAGAATCTCTCCCTCCAGATGTATTTTGGGGACTGCCTAGTTAAATGAGCACAACATTGACTGAGTATTAACTAACAATGTCTAAATTTTGTGATAAAAAGGTCACAAAAGCAACTAAATAGGACTTGCACCTAACTTGCACATAGGATGTTATTGATTCATAGATGTTTGGGTTGGAAGGAACCTCAGTAGATCATGGAGTCCAACCCCCTGCCATGGGCAGGAAAGAGCACTGAGGTTACATGACCCCAGCCAAGTGCACGTCTAACCTCCTCTTAAAGACCCCCAAGATAGGGGAAAGCACCACCTCCCTTGGAAGCCCATTCCAGATTTTGGCAACCCATACCGTAAAGAAGTTCTTTTTGATGTTCAACCTAAATCTGCTCTCTGCCAGTTTGAGGCCATTGTTCCTAGTTACTCCAAGGGGTGCCCTGGTAAACAGAGCATCTCCTATTCCTTGCTGCCCTCCTCCCTCCCCCCCCCCCAGATGAATTTGTAGGTGGCCACAAGATCACCTCTCAGCCTTCTCTTGAGGAGGCTGAAGAGATCCAGGTCCCTCAATCTCTCCTCATAGGGCTTTGCCTGCAGGCCCCTAACCATACCAGTAGCCCTCCTCTGAACCCTCTCAAGGTTGTCTACATCCCTTTTGAAGTATGGTGCCCAAAACTGGATGCAGTATACCAACTGTGGCCTGACCAATGCTGCATAGAGGGGAAGTATCATCCCCCTGGACCCGTTCATCATGCACCTGCTAATGCATGCTAAACTGCGGTTAGCTTTACTGATCACTTCATCACATTAGTGACTTGTATTCATCTCGGTGTCATCAATGACCCCAAGATCCCTTTCTGCTGCTGAGAAGGTCCTCCCCAAGCCTGTAAGTGTGTTGGTGATTCCTTCTCCCTAGGTGCAGCACTTTGTACTTGTCTTTGTTGAACTGCATCCTATTCTGTTCTGTCCATTTTCCCAACCTGTCCAGATCCCTCTGGATTCATTCGCTACCCTCTGGTGTGTTAATTTTATCCCATAATCATCTGTGATATCATCTGTGAATTTGGACAAAGTGCTCTCCATGCCCTCATCCATGTCCCTGATGAAGACTTTGAACAGCACAGATCCAAGTACCGAGCCTTGTGGGACTCCACTGCTCATGTATTTCCAGGTTGATACTGACCCGTCCAAGGAACTGGGAACTCGGCTAACTTCTTCCAAAAGATGACTACCACCTGCTTGTCATTTGAGTTCCCAGCAATAACACCCTACAAATGATCTTCAGCTGCAGATATAGAACCTCAGACTGCCCCTGTAGCAAGGTAGTACATGCTACTGCAGCATCTGTTCTTTCTCTCTCCTTTCTCTATCTAGTTACTGTACAGTATGATTTGCCATTCTTTACTGGAACTAAAATGACTACATAAAATGGACATGATGTCTGTCATACTTCTATAGGTCCTTTTATATTCATATGGACTACAATATTACAGTGGGCCTTTCCATAAGTAGGTCATATAAGTCTAATGCAAGCTACACATTCTACTTATAACCCTATCATCTATATTAACTCTATTTTTGATTTGTATAAGGGATGGATTTTTTGATGTATGGGAAATTAAAGATTGACCTATACAAGCAGAATGGATGTTTTATAATCCCTAGCATGGGTCAGATTGAAAAAGTAAAGATATTGGAATGCATGGATGCTCTCTGAGCATTTCAACAGTATCTGGGTTCTTAAAATTTTCATCAGTTGCCATCTTGTTCATGTTCATGGACATTGGACCCGAACCAATATTGGGCCAAGACATTGATTTCAAACAGTAATGAATGAGTCTCTTATATAAATAAAAATAAAACCAAAAACAAGCATAACATTTTTGAAGTTCTCTCTCTTTAGAAAAATCTCTCTTGGATCTGTTTAAAAGAAAATGTTTCTAAGGGACTTCTTTGCTATCCTTATAAACAAATACATTTAAAATCCCCATATAAATTCAGAATATATCACTGAGATTTGTCTTCCATTTGGGTTATTCCCCGGACCTCCACATTTCTTCTAATATGCTGTTACATTTTCTGGATTGCAAATCTGTAGGTTTGTTTCTATACCAACAACTCAAGCAGTCTACTTGCTGTCTAAGCTTCTGTACATTCAGTGTTTAGGCAAGATGGAGAAAAAGAGCCAGACTGTAGGAAAACATGGGTTACAGACTTGCTCACCAGCCAAATGTAAGCTGTAATTTACTGGAAGGGAAGGTCCTCTTTAAATTTACAGAAAGGGGCATATATAGACTTCTAACAAAAACATGTAATGATTGCTTGGCAAAGAGAAATGCTGTTGTGTGACAGATTCCACATTGTCACTGTCTACATTTGACACAGTTTCTTTTGGTCAGATCCGGATACCACATCCTTGTTTAGGGGCTTTCTCCTTTATTTGCTATTGTCTGCCTCATTCCTCTTCCACATGGTTCTGGAGAAAAAACAAACTCTCCATTTTGTTTATGTAAATTCTTTTTCCTGTTAAAATTGATGACCCCACCACAGATTAGTCATTAGCCTCACCCTTCTCTGGCATAGCTTTCAAAGCTGACCCACTAATATAGTCCCTGCAGACAGTGCATGAGGGCAGTGCAACAGGAAACTTCTGCCCCACTAGGGCAAAGCCCCCTTTCCTTCCAGGCCAGTGGCCATCTAGCTAAGGCACACACCTTCTTGCTTGCTCCCTTGCTCTTGGCCCCAGACACTTCCCACAGACCTCCCTCATATGGCTGTCCAGGAGGCTATCATTGACAGAGCAGCAGAGATGGCTCTGGCTACTGGTTCATCTAGAGCAGAGCTTCCTAACCTTTTCCTCAGCATGACCCTGTTTAGACACTGGAAATTTTTTGTGACCCCAAGATGATGCAGACAAAATCAACAAGTCATTAAGATGGCATTACAATGTTTATAGTCTTTATATTTTTCATTTAAAATATTTTATCTTAATTTAAAATCATTTTAACTTCTTTTTAGATTTAAAAAAATCACACGGAATACAAAGTCTAAAGAAGCTTTGGAGGAAAACATCCACGTTAGATTTCTCAGTCATGTAAAATGTATTTCAGACAGATACTGGTAATCAAGATACTGGTTTTACATCAGTTTCCTGTAAGGCACAAGTGCCTTGTTGGAGCTGTAACTGCCATGCCTGGACGAATCACTGCCATGCACCCAACCCCTCCCACTGCAACCCTGGGGAGGGGGCTCTCAGCCAATCAGAAAACACAAGGATGAACCAATCAGAATGCAGCAAGGGGGTGCACATGACTAGCACTGGCTCCTCCCTATTGCCATGGGGACAGGCAGGGCTTCCCCAACAGCACCCCCAGGGCTTAGCTCTGCCTGCCCCCTCCCACCCTTGCTCCTTCTGTCTGTCCCACACCCTGTCCCATCCCTGTAGCAGCTGCCCCAGAGTTCTTTTTCCTCACTTGTGAAGGGCACACAGGGCTGCAGGGACCCAGGTACCATCATGTAGCACAGAGGCACCAAGCATAAGGCCAACCAGCCATGTGACCCTATGGGCTGTCACCCCACCCACCAGCCGCAGAACCAATCAATAACAAGTAGGTTATGTCAGACATCAGCCAATTCCCACTTGCTGTTGGTGCACGTGACTGGCAAGTACTCCCTCCCCTGTCCATCCAATGCACAGGGGCATCGCCTGGAAAGGCTCTGCCCCACCATGTTGGTTTAGCCAATCACAGCCTGGAATGGTCCTGGTCCTGCCTCTAGGGCAGGATCCAGCCTGGAGTGAGTGGGGCCAGCCACGGGCATGCCACCCCCCAGAATATTGTGTAAACATTCTCTTGGATAGATCTGGTATCTGAGAGCTGAGTTTCTGATGATGCAGTAATATTGATTCTAAGTTTAACCAATTCATAATTTAGTAGTGCTGTTTTCTGTAAATCAGAGCCTGAATCGAATCCAGGGGTCAGGGTCTGAATGTTCCCACATGCAAGTCTCTTTATTTCATCTTGTCAAGGATAGATTGGGTTGGGGCATGGCTGTTTTGGCCCACCTTTTCTAGGGCCTTCCTCAAGAGAGGCAAGCAGGCCACACGTGAATGGAGGTTGCAACATTGTGGTATTTTATAGGAGCTACCCCACTATGAGTAGCCCCATCACTTTTGCTACCAGGCCCTCCAGTTAGATGCCGTTGATGGTCGTTTGCTACCCAC